GATATATAGATATATAGATATATTAGAATATATAGAATATATAGATATATTATTCCAATTTATAACTTGAGGTATTTCTTTTAGTTGATTTAAATTTCATATATAGCTATATGTGGTTTAATAACTCTAATAAATCTTTATAAGATGCACAATCCATTTGATGGCGTGAAAAATCACTCTTCAAACTCTTCCAAATGTCAGCTAGACTTGGTGTGTTGTTCACGTTCGATAATTTGTTTTTAAAGCAAGTGAGAAATTTAGAGATTGCCACATATAAAAATGGAAAAAAATGAATCCGTGCAAAATTATAGAATGGGGCTTCGATGATTCCTCATCCTATTCTAAATCCAAAGAATAGGGATAAGGATCAATTCAAAATTCAATTCAGTAATTTTATACGAAACTCGTTTCCTTTTTCATTTTTACGTGGCAACTGCTTAATTTCTCACGTTTTAAACGACTACCAAACGTGAAAAACGCATCAATTCTGACTGAAATTTGGCTTGGAAAAGTCTGAACGTTTGAAAAATAATACTTTCCAAGTATCATTAAATGAATCGTGGCATCATCTCATAAAGATTTATCAAACTTGTTAAACTATCCACGTATACGATATTACAAATTTGCATAAGAAATTCAAAGAAGAGTTCCTAAAAATTAAAGAGTAATAGAATTTTTTGAAAAGTCCTTTTTTAGTGTAAAAAGAAATCCTACAAGAAAAATCTATTGCTTCTTGAGAAATAAAATGTTGATCAAAATTTGTTGTTCAGTGCTATTATATTAAGTGTGAGAAAAAGGTTGCGTTTTTTTAATGCCATCTAACAGGAAAAACGCCACGAACTTTTTCCCATACCTAATATATTATGATATGTTAACACTATGAAGAAATTAATACACTTATACTACAAGAAATATATTTTGTAATTTGCATTTTTTGCATTGTTTAGGTGGAGTCTTGTTCAGTATAGAAGAGGGTACTAGCTTTTTCAATCAAAGCCTTACATGGAGAACTTTCTTCGCCAGCATGATTACTACGTTCACTTTAAATGTGATCTTGAGCGCTTACCACGGACATCCTGGAGATCTTTCGTATCCCGGCTTGTTGAATCTAGGAAAATTCAACTCGATTCCATATGAAATCTACGAGATACCTCTGTTCATGCTAATGGGCACGTTTGGCGGATTACTCGGTGCTTTTTGGAATCACGTGAATTATAAGATTACTTGCTTTCGTTTGCGATTTGTGACACGAAAGTGGGAAAAAGTCATTGAGGCTCTTCTGGTGGCGATATTAAGCGCAACGATGGGATCTCTAATGATATATTTTGTCAATGACTGTAAACCGTTGGGTAATGATCCCACCAAGTTTCCAGTTCAAATGTATTGCGCAGAGGGGCAATACAATGCGGTCGCCTCTTTATGGTTTCAAACTCCAGAAAGCAGTGTACGATCCTTATTTCACGATCCTAAAGGTATACAACATGTGATAATGATATCAAAACAAAAGACAAACGCATATAAATAAATTATGCATTTGTAGGAGCTCACAATGATCTGACGCTAGCTATCTTTGTTGTATTATATTTTTTTCTTGCTGCCACGACTTTCGGCCTATCAATGTCAAGTGGCCTTTTCATTCCCTCTCTATTGATTGGATCTGCTTGGGGTAGATTAATTGGATCAGCTCTCGCGAAGCTGTGTCCATATTGCGTAAGAATCGTGAAAAGAGACTTGTAGCTGATATAATGTACAAAATAAAATTATTGCTGTGTTACATTATATAATTTAATTATATAATTGTATTGCAGGAAGTATTAGATCCTGGCAAGTATGCTTTACTAGGTGCTGCCGCGCAATTAGGAGGAGTAGTTAGAATGACTATAAGTTTAACTGCAATCTTAATAGAAGCAACTCAGGGAATATATTTTGGTTTGCCTGTTATAATAGTTCTTATAATGGCAAAGTGGATTGGCGATTTCTTTAATGAGGTAAGTATTAATTATTGATTGACTTGATATCCGACTTACAATCGTGTCTCTTGATGTATGCTACACTTATAAATATATCATGTGTTTTTTAATAATATGTATCTTTTAGGGAATTTATGATATTCATATACAAATAGCAGGAATTCCGTTGCTTCCATGGGAGCCGCCTCCGCTCTCGAATAATATTTATGCAACTGAGATAATGAGTCATCCTGTCGTGACTTTGAAAACTGTCGAAAATGTCGGACATATTGTCGAACTTTTGAAATGCGTTACATTCAATGGATTTCCGGTAGTTGACCCACCAAGTAGCGATCAGGTATTAAGCAAATATTAATTGTTTCAAATAATTTTGTACATTTATTTTGATTGTATTATCCTTTCAGGCCGAGATAAATTCGTACGGTCGACTCCGAGGTCTAATATTACGTTCTCAATTAATAGTACTTTTAAAAAATAAGGTATTTAACGAATATGAAGAATTTTGGGAGAGACCTTTAAGTATAAATATGTTTAGAAATGAGTATCCTAGGTATCCAACCATCGAGCAAGTCGCCATCACTGATGAAGAAAAAACTTACACAATTGATTTGAGACACTTTATGAATCCTTCTCCTTATACAGTACAACACGTTAGTAGTTTTTATATCAAGATCTTTTTGATACATCAAAATGTATTTAGGCTCATATAATTGTTTCTTTAGTCTGCCACACTGCCAAGAACATTCAGACTCTTTAGAGCGTTAGGATTACGTCATGTACCGGTAGTAAATGATATCAACGAGGTAAGAGACTAATTAATATTAATATACATTTTGCAATCTATTATGAAAATTGCACTTAATTTCTATATATTTATATATTTCATCTAGGTAATTGGTATTATCACTCGAAAAGATGTTGCTAGATTCAGGATATGGAGGCATCGTGGAAAAATGGGATTGGATGAACTTTTAATCACTAACAAAATTTAATTTTTTTAGAAATCTTAAGAATTTTTCTCGAATTTTGTCATATTAGGATTTGGTAGTGTCTGTTACATTTCATATATTTTGTCATATACAAATTTCAGGTATGTATATGTACATACATTGTTAACGAAATTCGAAAATAATTTAGCAGAATATATGTAGAAATACTGCATAATTGCATTAAAGAAAATATGTCGAGATTTTTCTATACAATTTGTGTGTGTGTGTGTGTGTGTGTTGTGTGTGTGTGTTGTGTGTGTGTGTGTGTGTGTTTGCGTGTGTGCGCGCGCGCGCGCGTGTATATATGTGTACATAGGCAACTTGATGACATTTAGCTTATATTTTAATAATGTCAAATTTTAATTATTCACAAATAATTCCCATCCAAGCCATGACCAAAGTTTAAAAAAGAGATATACAGGTAGAATAATTAATAATAGCAGAAAATAGTACTCATAGGATATGTACATGTTGAACGATAATATTTAGCTAATATTTTATCCTGTCGATTATCCTGTCAATTTCCTAAAATTCTGTTATTTATTTAATATGCTATAAATCTATATACGCGGAATCTGAAACAAAAATAAAGTATTTTATTGTACAATGAAAAATACATTTATTTTTACAATTTTATCTACTTTCTATTGAACCTTGACTATGCCAATTACAAATTGACTTTAAAAACTACACAGAATGATTCAAAATCGTACAGTACAGTATGATTCAAAAACGTATGATTTTTCAAGAAGTAAATTTATATCAAATAAGTAAAAAGAAATTTGAATTATACATATACACTATAATTTTTCTAGATTATTAGAAAGTTAAAAATGTTTCTTGTTTTGATATGAGCTACTAATATTTTAATTCGATTTTATATTTATAATTACTGTGTTGCGATTCGGATTCTTGAATTTCTTTTACCATCAACAATTCAAAAATTACATTTGTATAAATTTTTGAAAAAAACAAAAGAGAGTGTAATTTTTGCGACCATTCAAAGATTGTTCTATTTCTACATTTTCTTAAGTCTTTTCCTTCAGATTGGATCAACAATTCTGAATTAATTTTTAAATGCTTGAAACATAACTGACAATGTTTTCGTAATAGTGTGAATGGGTATGTGTGCGTGTTTACTTGAATAAGGATTCTTTATTTTAATGTTTATTTTAATGTCAATTTTTCCTTGAGTGTAACATTATCATGATAATTTTTGGTTTCTATCAATGGTTTCTATCGAGAAGAAAAATCAAGATTAGATAGTATTAAGCTAAAGATTTAAAAGTTAAGTTAAAAAAGTTAAAAAGTTAATTAATCTTAATTTTAATTTTGTCTTTTATATTGTTACAATCGTTGTGAACAAAAGTAACTAGTGATTCTTTGGTGAATATGTTGTGAGAAAAGAAAAATATAAAAAATTATATAAAACGATCAAATTTTTTCTTTTTTTTTATCGTTCATTCGGACTAAATTTAACTTTTTAACTTTTCAATTACTTTTTTTATTAACTTGTAATTTCATTATGAATTAACTTTTATCTTAATCAAGTTAAATTTTCAGGGTTGTTAACTTTAACTTAATTTAATTTTTAAAAATGTTAACTTATCCAACCCTAAGAAAAACATAAGAAAATGTAGAAATAAAACGATTGCAAAAAAGTGATAGTTGTCCTTGTCTTTTCTTTGAATATCAACATTTAGAATCACTCCGCAAATCCATAAATTTTTCGCGTTAATTGTACGATTTGAACATAATCTTTATTAAACATAATCTGAAACGCTTACATTTCCTTACATCTTCTAAAAACAGATATGTAATTTTATTTGATATTAGTTACACAAGTTTTACAAGACATATTGCGCGATGTGCCGTCGTATCTTTTTGTCTTTCTTAAAAATGTGAATCCTCCGCCAAACTACCTAATCTCAACGTTACGAGAACGTCGAGAAAAACACGTGTCAGTCGTTCGTTTTCCAACGCGAAATACCAAATTGTTTCAATTCGAGCCGAGGGTGTCTCGCTCTATCTCTCGATTTCCCTTCATCCAGCCACTGTCAATGTCTTTACTCGAGACATGTAACGCGCGATGTGGCAAATGTGACCTTTAAGACGCGACCACGCGACTAAGAAGTCAATAGTTTCGTACATACACCTGTCTATCGCGGACGATAGTAGGAAGGGGTTATGGTCAATAAACGCAACCACGTCACACGCAGCCTATCGGCGGCAGCGGCGGCGGCGGCGACGGCAGCGACGACGACCCCGCTTGGCCCCTTAAAGTGGCTCCTCGAAAATCTTACGTGTCGTATGGGTGCGATACCCATCTTTGTGCATCTGTTTCGCGGAATAAACCAGGTAAAAGCTGCGCGGATCGACGTGGGACGCGGACCGGCGAACGCGGCACTCGTCGAGGAATCTGCGGATGGATATCGCAGAACCGTGGCCGGTCGATCTCTCGCCAAGGTGAGTGGACACCGCGTTTCAACAAATCGGCCGAAACACGTCCGCCATTGTTGTTGATCAACCGCGCCGTCCAGCGCCATCCAGCGCCGTCGAGGATCGAGTCAGACAGCGAGAGCAAGCGAGAGAGCGAGGGGACATGGTATATACATACCGATCATGCATACATACATGTGTACATACTCCGCGAGAAGCAACGTTCTTAGCTCGGAGCGCGCATGCGCATGCACACCAATGTTGTTGCACACTAATGTGTTAGACGGGCCGGATTTCAGACGCATGCGCGTCCAATATAGCTTCAGTAATGTACCGGTTACTAGTAAATAGGAGATTATTAGTCGCTTAGGATTGAAAATATTAAAAATTTTAATATTTTACATATTTTATATACGTATACATATATGTAAATATATACAATAATAAATATATTTCTATATATGTATACATATATAGAAAATATATGTGTAAAATATATAAAATTGTAGTATAGTAATATATATTAAAATTTGCAACATTTTTGAAAAAATTTTACATAGGCGACTAATGATCTTCTATTTACTATAGTGACCGATACTGAAGCTACACTTGCGATACTTGGACGCGCATGCGTCTGAAACCTGACCCGTCTAACAACACTGCTCAGACGTGAGAGACGCGGACGCTTATTTCTTTTCAAACTTTTCCCATCCTTGCCTGGCCGCGTCGCGCGCGTACGCACTTACTAGCACATACATCGGGCGATGCAGTTCGCAGATACGACGAGGAGACGCAGTAGACCGAGACAACGACGAAGATTCCCGGGATGTGCACGCAATAATTTCGAATGTAATTTTTCGTAAGTTCAGAAAAACTCGCCATCCGATGTCCTTTGCACTTTTCTTAAATGACCGCAGATTCAATTATCCATACGATTCATCGGATATTGGATTAACAGTTTTCGATAATGCAGTGACATAAGCTGTATCGATTTAGTCATTTTATTGTGATCCCATTCGTGTTCGACGTATCTTTCGTTAGGAGGTTAGGTCTCACACAATTAAAAACCATGTCATAGGTCATATTACACATTAAAGATTGAGAATTCGATTAATTCAACAATTTTAATCCATTTTGTTCTGATTGGCTGAATCCTAATCTTCAATTCGTAATCTGCAATCCTCAATGCTTAATATGACACGGAATTTAACCTGAGACATAAAGTACTGAAACGCACAATAGGAACAAAAACTAATAGATTGTAATCTATTAAGTCGGTTTCTACATTAATTGCAAATCGATTACAAATTTGTTGGGACAGTCAATCTGAAGCTTGCATTTTGAAATCAATGCTTCAGCTATCACAACAAACTTGCGATCAGCTTGCAACTAATATAGAACCGGCTTTAGAAAGTGTGTATCCTGATATATATGGTTTCTGATTAGATTAAAATCTGTTCCCAGCAAACGAAAATGGATTAAAATGGATTGAATGGATTGAATGGATTGAAATGGATTGAATGGATTGAAATGGATTGAATGGATTGAAATGGATTGAATGGATTGAAATGGATTGAATGGATTGAAATGGATTGAATGGATTGAAATGGATTGAATAGATTGAAATGGATTGAATGGATTGAAATGGATTGAATGGATTGAAATGGATTAGATTCGAGCTGACACTAGTTTAATATTTGAAAAAAAACGTTCATCTTTAAGAGTTAAAAATTTTATTTCTAAGACATTATAATAATTATACCTGAAATTAACTACTTCAAATTGATATTAGAAAACATATATGTGAGATTTGGACCTGGAACCTCTGAATTATGAATCTTCTATGTTACCCGCTACATCACTTCTTCAATTGGTAAATGTATTATTCATTCTCTACTTCAATTACAATCAATTAAACTAGTAATGAAATTATATAGGTAGTATAATAAAAATATCATTTAACAGATATAATAAAATATAAACAATTTATATTATTATGAGACAACATTGGGTAAGTATCGAATAATCTAATCTCGCTTGACTGATGTCGCGCACCGTGATTAGTCTATATATAATATTCAGACTGTGTTCGACTTGGTTTGCAAGTCACATCGATCATTCATTTTACTTCTAATCAAAGATGAAAAAATGAACTCAATTATTTTTACATTACAGTTTTTTTTAACTTAGTTGGATTAAAATGAAAAATTTCCTACTTATAATTTTAAATAATTTAAGTAGCACTTATGGTCCATTTTTAAATAAAAACTTTTTTTATTCAATTAGATTAAAAAACTGTATTTCATATTCAGAATATTGAATTGAGCAGTATTCATGTTGCACAAAAATTGCTAGTATTATTTTTAAATTTAAGTGAATTAAAAAAATTGTACTTTCTATTCACAATTCTAAATTGAGTAGTATTCATGATGCACAGAAAATGCTAATATTATTTTTGGATAGGAAATACATAGAAATATATTCTATGCAATTCGTATAAATGAATAAAAAAATGCATTCAAGATTGAAAAGGTACAGACATTTGCTTTATGCAATTCCTATAAATGAATAAAAATGTCAGGATTGAAAAGGATTTATTTTAACATTCATCCATATTTCTGAAAATCCATTTTAATCCATTTCAATTCTTGTTTGCTGGGTCGTATCCATTGCCTGTATTTTTCAATTGTGCTTTAATCTCTGTGAATATTCGGATAATCATATTTTATCATCTCCCCCCCCCCCACACACACACACACACACACACATTCACTCACTCACTCACTCACTCACTTATTACTATCCTTATAATATGATTGCAATCTGTTTCAGATGCCCGATAAATTCGAGTTTCTCGAATTATAGCACACATGAATTAAAAAGTACTGTTAAAGTGGCGAGGGAATTGGAGAAATAAGCTATATTCATGATTGGAATATTTATTCTATTTTATTAATTTTAGACCATTTTAAATATTATAATTTTACTCTGAAAATGACAAAGCACTTGAGGGACAGAATCAATGTCATTTGTGTCATGTATTAAGCTCAAAGCTGAAAAAGAATTTTGCCCCAAGACAGTGAAGGAAATGCAAAATTATAGATGTCAGAGACAGGGGAGGAACGTGCTGTTAGACTATATACGGCTGCGGAGATAATGAAAAACGCCAGAGCCAAGGAAACTGAGGAACAGGCGGCATTAAGGAGAATGCAGGAGGCTCAACGAATGGCCAGGCATCGTGCCAAGAAAAAGCGTTGCCTGGATGAGAATCTCGCGAGGGAGATTTCCAAAATCGCCGAGCTGTCCAAGATGCCCGTTCCTGATTCCTCTACAATAGCCCAGATGTCCGAGATGAATATGAATAAAATATCCGCGGAATTGAAGCAAATGATGGAGAGGGGAAAAGTACCTGAGCATATAGTTCAAATGGCTCAACTCGCAGAGTTTAATAAAATGAATTCTGAATTGAACAAGATGTCACAGGACATGGCGAAGAGATATGAAATGGAGAAGATGGTAGAATATGCCAAGACTACGGAATACATGAAGATGCAGGAGATCGCCAAGATGAACGAGATGGTGAAACTTTCTGAAATGGCCAAGTATAACGACATCACCAAGATCAATGAAATGGCAAAGATGAACGAGATGATGAAGATATCTCAGATGGCCAAGATCAACGAAGTGCAAAGGATGAACGAGATAGCGAAGCTGAACGAGATGGTGAAAATGACAGAGATGGCAAAATACAATAATGATATCACAAAACTGACTGAATTCGCGCAGATCAATGAGATGGCGAAAGAGATCGCGAAAATGAACGAGAAGACGAAGATGAATGAAATGATGAAGATGGCAAATATACAAAACGACATCGTCAAAATGGAAAGACCAGAATATCAGAATGTCAAAATGACAAATGAAATGGTGAAACTGAATGAGCTGGCTAAAATGAACGAAATAACGATTACGAAGCTGAATGATCCGCCGAAGGTACCGGAGATTTCGTCGCTACCACCGCCACCGCGTATCCCCGAACCTGTGATCACCGTGCCAAACCCGAGGAATCTGCAGAACGTGCAGACCGTACAAGTGGCACAGGCCAGCCCGTCCAGCATGATCAACTACCAGACCGTGCCCGGCCAGAACAATTATGGCAAGTTATTGAATATCATTGAGGAGCTCGGCAGAGACATTCGTCTGTCATACGCGGGTAGCCGCAGCGCCGCCGAAAGGCTGAAGAATGGCATTCAGCAGGCTAGGATCGCCGTGCGGGATTGTTTGCACGAGACGCAGCACAATGCGCAACAATGATCTGCCGACATGAGTTAGATAGCGATTAGATTACTTATAGCTTTTTATCATTTCATAAGACGTTGCTTTGTACGAACTGCTTAAATTTGAGCTGCGGTATTAACACGACGTGATATATACAGTAGTGGACGTACATGCATAGATCGAGCATTTTGTTTCTAGAAAAACCTAGACTGTTATTCTTTCATTCTACGCGATATGCATGGTCTCTTTTTCTGAAGATACGGTAGTGTCTCTGCGCTAAGGTAAACGCAACGATTCAACTCGATTTCTCAACTCGGTTCCTGCATGTACGTCGTTCGAACAATGGCTGACAGTTTCCTATTTTTAAGTTACAATTTAATACATAGAAATGGAAGGGACGGTACCAATTTGTATACACGCACTGAACTACTTAGAGAATATTAGAATCTTAGTTTATATTTTATAAAAAAGAAAACAGAAAAAAAAACAGTTATATCATGATTTTTGTTAAAACTCGCATATGCTGCAAATTTTTAGTATACGTTTTGAGTGAGAAAAAGAAAAGAATGCAAAGTAAAAGCTTTTCAAATATGTACCTAATGGAAAGTATAATCCCGTAAATATTTCCCGTAATATATCGTTAAATAAATAAAAATTTTGTATACAACACGGACATTTCGCTCTTCTTTTTGACTTGGCGCTTGTATAGTACAATGAGTCGAAAAATGAAAAAAGTTCAGTAAATCAAAACATAAAGAGACGTATCTTAAGACATTAAAGGGAATGCTGGAATAGGAATGGGCAATAGGCTAAAAATTAATTTGGAAATTGGCCTTTAGGTCAAAAAAATGATTTTTTTTTCAAAAGGCTATTTCAAATCGATTTTAAAAAGTCATTTCTTTTTTTACCTAAAAGACAATTTCCAAATAATTTTTAGCGTATTGTTCATTCTTATGCTACAGCAGCCGAACTCGATGTCAATGAAACAAACTCTTATAGAATAATTTATCCTTAAAAAATCGCTTAGAAAATGCACTAACAAAAGATCAACATTCTAGTGGAAGGAAATGATATTTAAGAATGTATGTATATATCATTTTTATAAATGTATTAATATTTATACTTTAAACGAAGTATAAATGCCCAAAATTTTTTGCCCAACGCTCTTGTGTAAATAAGGCGGACTAAATTGAGTCGAAAAGTTCTCTACTATTTTGCAATTTTCGCAATACAAGTTAACAAGATATTATCACTGAAATCACA